TCCAATTAGGTGTTCCCTGAAGGTGACACAATTGGGGTGCAATGTGGCCATATTGCAGGTCATGATGGCTTCCCCAAACAAAGAACCTCGCAGAAGGCACTCTCGAGGCGACCAGCTTCGACCGTGACCAACGCAAGTACGGTTTCTACATGTAACTCTCCCTGTGGTCGGGCGGCACGGGAGGCGAGGGTTTCGGGGCCGACAGCGACGGCGAGGGCAGCCTCCTGTCGCTGAGGGCGCCGACGGACGACGTAGGGCCGGAGATGTCGGTGGCAGTAGCATAAGTCTACAGTTTGAACGGAAGCAGAAGGATCCATTTCGATGCTGTCTGAAGGGGTGGAATGTGGCCATCATAGTGACCACCATAGTAACCAGCTCAGTGATCATCATAGTGGCCATCATAGTGGCCACCCTAGTCGCCATCACGTGTTCCCGGAAAAAAGAATCACATAGGCTTGGCCCGAGCGTGGCAGATTCAGCGCCTAACTCTCCCTGTAGTCGGGCGGCAAGGGTGGCGAGGGCGGCGTGGGCGATGGCGAGCGCACCCTCCTGTCCCTGGGGGCGCCGTCGGAGGTGGTGGAGGTGGTGGAGCCGGAGCCGGAGGTGGATCGCGCGGAGTGGACGCCGAGGCGGAGAGCGCTGTGTGGGCGCGGGGCGGGGCGCGGCGGCCGCGCGCGGCCTGCGGCCGCAGCAGGCGTGCAGGAGGGCTGTGGCGGTGTGGGCACGAGGGCGAAGCGGGCTGCGGCGCGGCAGTCGCGGTCGGTTGACGCACGCGCCGGCACCAGGAGCGGCGCGCCGCCGCCTCGTGGCCGCGCCTCGGCCGCCGCGTGCAGTGGGGTGCTGTCCAGTGTGGCAGCGCGCGCGCACGGTGGCGCCACTCAAAACCGGGTCCCACCAGGTGCGAGCCGCGATCAGCGCGTGCCGCGCCGCATCTTGCGAGCGGCAGCAGGTGCAGGCGCAGTCTCGCCCGTGTGGTGTGCGCCGTCGTCCGTGCGGCTCGCGCCGCCGCGCAGCCAAGGTCAGCACGGTGTCCGCGTCGCCCCTGAAGACCCACAGTCGCGTGGTATGGAGGTCAGGTTTCGAGTCCAGGCGGCGCAATAGAATTTTCTGAAACTGTTTACGGTAGCTAGGTCGGAAGTCGACGCAGTCTGGAGGAGATTCTACGGCCGACTGCCCTGATCGTTAGTTCTTCCGTGTATTCCGCGTTTTAACACAGGCCAAGAGAGTTATAACCGGGCGGTTATACTGCAACCGGCGTATGCCAAGATCAGTACCTCTAACAATTGAACGTGCGCGACATATCTCTACCTTCCTTGTCCTTTTCTTTCATGTTTTCCCTTAACACACCACATCGCGCGCGCGCACACGCACACGCACAACACGCGCGCGCAACAACGCGCGGCGCACACACGCGCACGCACAATCACGCGCACGCACAAGGTCACTGCGCACGCACGACGACCGCACTGGGCACTGACGACGCGCGCACTACACGCGCAGCACACACGCGCACACGCGTCGCGCACACACGCGCACACACGCGCGCGCACACCGGCCCGCGCCACACAACGCGCGGCACACACGCACGCGCACAGCACCTGCACACACGCAACGCACAACCGCACGGCACACACGCACGGCACTAGACGAACGCAGGAGACACGCGCGCACGCACGCAGCACCCACAGCGCACACACACACACACACGCACTATAACGCACATACTTGTCTCGAGACACATTGGGGAGTCTACGAGTTTGTCCGGCTGGGGCGGTGCACTGCTAGTAGGGGGAGACACATGCCTTGTGAAAAAATCTCAGCACGTCAACGGTAAGTTGGGCGGGATTCACTGTGGCAGGGGGGAGGAACAACCATCACTTCCGGTAATCAAAACATGCTCTACGACTAACGGGCTGAACTATCAAGGTACCGTGGCAGAAAAAATCTTTTTCTGAGCCAATTTTCGCCGTATGTTGTAACGTCCATTGTATTCAAATTTTCCCAAAGTACGTGTATTCATTGAAAAAAGTTACCAATTTTGGACACCTTCTACATATCTAACTACTTGTCGATTAAAACAGTTCCAGTTCAAGGTCAGCGAAGCTGAAAAGAGAGGGTGACACTGCCGTCAATGGTGAAAGCCATCGAGAACATTTAAGTCGTAAGCAAGCCGCAGGATTGGATACAGTATCCCCCTCTGTTTTTCAGTTCATTACACCAATTTTAATCGGTATACACGCACTCGCGCAAAAAACAATGGCCGCTAGAAGTGCGATAAAATGACAGTCGCAGTTTAATATATCATTTGTTTACCTTCAACTCAGTCGTCATTGTTGGGCAATGCTGAGTAAAAAGACGTTATTTAGCGCTGGAACCTGTAAGTAAAAATTGTCTACGCGCTCATGCTACTGATTGCTATAAGAGGAGTTATCCTTGAAAGGGACCAGTCTTGACGTCACTATGCTCTTGCAATGCCGGCGGTCCTACCGCGGCTTGAAAGATAGTGGACGGAGCCACGTACAAAAGTGGATCTTCACGTTAAACGAACCAGTCGACGAATTCTTGCATGGCCATATGGCCAGTTATGTCACCAGCAATAGCCAAGCGTAGCTGTCAAAGCAGTATTACTTACTGAGTGAAAAGGTTGGCTGCAGTGCGGAACGTGTACAACTGAGGATAGTCTTGTTTAATGTGAAAATGAAATAGCCGTCCCTGCCGAACATAGATTCCGAAGCAAGTTTTTTACACTGCACAATGCAAGAACCCGTTCAATGTAAAACCGAGAAAACATACCAGGGGCCGCCCTTGAAGATTCCCACCTGAGTCCCGGTTGTCCTGTTAGGCATTCCTGTTTGTGCGGTAGGCACTCTTGGCGGCGAACGTGCAGGGGAGATGTGGCGCGCCGTGGCCGTGCGCGTTGACGAGACGCCGCTCGGAGGCAGCAGCTGCGACCGTCGTGGCGCTGCCCGCGGCGCGCGGTCCTCCAGCAGCAGCAGCGAGTTGCGGCTCGCGGTCGGCGTCCGACGCGCCGGCGCCGGGGCATGCGGCAGCACGTCCGCAGTCGCGCGCGGCGGCGGCGCGGGCAGTAGCTCAGCCGGCGGGGGCGGGGCATGGGGCAGCGGGCGGCGGGCGGAGTGAGGGAGAGGGGCGGGGGCGGGGGAAGGAGCCGGCTGACAGCTGCCCGGTCGGCGCGGCTGTTGCAGCAGCTCGTCACGGGCGCGGAGATAGAAGACGTGCGAGCGTGCGCTGCACGGCCTCCTCCAGGTCGCGCCACGCGCTTTTCCAGGGCGGCGCGTGGCTGGCCACGGACGCCTCCAGGCGCCAGGGCTAGCGCCTGCCTCAAGGGCCGCCTCTGCCGTACGTGTGATTCCTGTTCTTCAATTAGCACTCCCCGCGCCAACTTTTTTGCTAGTCCCGTACGCTGTGGTGCAGTTTCTTCTTAACGTAGGGCGAGAGTGTGAATTTGCCTCGCTGCGATGGCGTACATCCGTCCGCCGATCCTACCATCAGCTAGTGCGTGGGGGGGAGGGTGCCTCCAACAGGTATCTTCCTCACGGGGGCACCGCTACCCGGGACAAGCCTAATCTCCCTTGACATGTGCCAGAGTATGTGCATCTGAATGTGTAGGCCCTCGTGTCAATAAACAGAAACAACGAAAGAAAAAGACAACCATTCGGATGGAGAGAGGGAGAGGTGGAGAGGGGGGGAGATGAGGAAGGGGGTAGGGAGAGAGAGGGATGAGGGAGGGAGAGAGAGGGATGGAAGGGCGGGAGGGAGAGAGAGTGGAAGGCGGAGGGAGAGGTGGGAGAGAGGGATGGAGAGAGGGTGGGAGATGGAGAAAGGGGGGGGAGAAATGGAGGGAGAATGGAGAGAGGGCGGAAGGTGATGCAAGGAGGGAAGGAGAGAAGGAAGGGAGGAGGAGTAGAGAAAGAGAAGGGAGGGGAGGAAGAGGGAGGAGGAGGGAGGGAGAGAGAGTGGAAGGGAGGGGGAGGAGAGAGAAGGGAGGGAGGGAGAGGGAGAGAAGGGCAGGTGAATGGAGGAGAGAAGGGAAGGGATGGAGGGAGAAGAAGGGAGGGATGGAGGACGAGAAGGAGGAAGAGAGAGGGAAAGAAAGAAAAACAGAGGTGTCATTTTGTATCATAAGCTGAATTTCAACAGATTTTGTTCTCACAGTAAGATATTTATTTTTTTAATAATTCGATTTTCACCCATTTATGCTCATTTAGAAGGGCAAATTGATGGGACAGCAGTGAATAACGCACTAAACTGATACTTTCAGGCATCATCTTATTCATCATCTGACCCTTATCTCATCCGGCTATCGGAAGAATACTCTTCGAGCCCAATGTGGTCTTTGTAATACTCAGCTGATTTCGAACATGCCAAAAAACCGTCCTGAGCCCTGAACAAAGCACATCACCGTTTACCGCGACAAACGTAAAAACGTCGGTAACCATCATTTCCATCCACACGCTTCAACTCCCGCGCAGTGGGTTTACAGTGTTTGTGTGCAATCCTTCAACTGTAAAAATCTGTCATAATTCACTTGTTGGAATAGTAAAATAAAAACTCAATTAAATGTAAATATGTCGGAAGGGCAGTGTTACTTACTCAAATAACTTATGATTGTAAAAGTAAATGTAAATAAGCCTTCCGGCTAGTATTGCTTAGCACTTGTATATTACCCCATTTGTAAATATAAAGTAAATTATTTTATCATATTTTATTTTCATGTGCATTCCAGTTGCCAACCTATCTAAACCTCTATTCGACTCGCAAAGACATCACGCGTAGCGCATCTTAACGCGTTCCCGTCGTCCAGCAGAGAGGCTAGCCATGTCACGCACCCTAGTTAGATCGCTGAACAGAACGAAGGAAAACGGAAATGCGGTGTGCGGTGTCAGGAGAAGGATACGGGCGACGGCCGGGTGCATCCGACTCTCGCCCAGCTCGCCGAGTGTATTTGAGATTGACAAATGAACAATAACATCTCCCACCTTGTCGCGGCAGCGCTGCTCGAAGGCCGCTTCCATGGCGGCGCGCCTCTCCTCCAGCGCCGCCTCCATGGCGCTCCACCTGGCGTCCAGCGCCGCCTCGCGCGCCCGCCAGCGCGCCTCCAGCGCCGCCTGCTCCTCGGGCGGCGGCGGCTGCTGCTGCTCCTCCAGCATCCACTCCAGCCCGGCCAGCTCGCGCGGCAGATCGGGGCGGCGCTGCGCCATGCTCAGCGCGCCTCTGCGCCAGAGGAAGGCAAAATGCTTAAGGAATAGCACAACACGTGTTACACACAATGGGCTTTGTTACACAATAAAGGCCCGCTAATCCGAACTAATTGGGGGTGTGGTGTGATCTTGCAAGACCCTTCATGTGAAAATTACTCCTATATAAACGTTATATACACCGTAGTTACCAGTGCAATAAACGTTTCATTTGTTGTTTTTGGGGGGATAATTAGTTGTTTAGTTCGACAGTAATTATAAAATCCTTTCTTCCGTTGTTCCCTTCATATATTTCCCTGAGATCTGGTTGCTACCAACATAAATGAAAATGTTTAATAGAAGGCCCTGATTCGGCTCGGGGCGGAGAGACTTGGCGCACTGTATAAATGTTACGGTGGCTTCGAGTGGTATTACACTCAGAGGAAAAGTTAAAAATTGCAACTTGTATAAATCTAAACCAAAAGCAATTATGAAAATAAAGTTTTGCTACATTTACTCCCAAACAGATAGTTGGTAGCTAAGGAGCTAAGCGCGTGTTTATGGACGTAAATAACAAAAAAGTACTTTTAGTCAGCTACTAGTAACATCGGTTCGTTCAAGACGTGTTTGGAGGGGGTGTCGCTTCATTCTCACCGCGACCGCGATATTATTGGCTTCAATACGGAGGTCGATATACGCTGATAATTTACTTGGATCGAGAGGATCGTGGTTACGAGGAAAATATAAAAACAATTGAATGTGCGCTTAAGGAGGGCATTAAACAAGAGAACTATGGGTAGGAAATAAAAAAGGAGCCAATATAACATCTAGTTAATTAATAAATATGTAAATATGAATCATTAACGTCGGGTAAAAAGTAAAATATCATATGTCTCGGGCGTTAACTGATTCTAATGATCTCAGGGAGCCAAATGCCCTCAGGCTTTTTGTCGCGGCTCTATCATTAGAACCTTTATAATGCCCTTGGTGCATAAATATATATTTTAGCTACTAGCAAAATCGATTCAAATCATGCATAATATGCAAACATGCAAAATTCAATTTTTAGCTCCTGTGCTAAAAGTGAGGCAATATTTAAATGTTCACTTAAAACTATTAATGCAGCAAAGAAAAGAACATACTTTTGTCTGGCCGCATCAACAACTATTGACCTTAATGTAGTTTACTGCGTAATTACGTGATTTGCATTCTTGAATAAAAATAAAATGAAAGTTCGAATGGTTGTCTAAAAAATAGTGTAAGTCGTGTGATAAAGGTGATTTTATTTTCCTCGTAGAATTGCACCACTCGGCCTATCGGCATCCCTTCGCATCTTTTCCTTTTTCTAAAATTAAACACGGCTTTTAAAACTAGTATCATACATATCTGCTATTCACGAGTGAAGATATGTCTGATATGACACTAGTTGCGTTCTCTATGCTCACCAAGACGAGGATCCACAAGGATAGACAGCAATCCTACATCTGCTGCAAAGACAATTACCCACCATCGAACCGATTTAAGAGGAAAAATAAAAGATAGTATATGAAATAACGACAAAAACAAGCAATCCGGCACACACGTTACCATGGTGTTTAACATCGAAACTAAGCCTAGGGATATTCAAACATTTTCGTCCAAGGCTCCCTTAGCCTAAAGAAAACTTCCCGCGGCTCCCCTGGTAACAAGATGAGTTAACAGAGCCCTACCAAAGATTCAACACAAATGAGTCAGTGATATAAAGAGCTAAGTATTTTATTACTCCATTCTAATTAGGTATTAAAATTTCACATAATACATTTTCTCGAACTTTTAATTTTATGACAAAATTGTTCTAAACATTATTGGGAAGAATGAGACAAGTGACAAGAAAGTTAATTGTTAACATAGTCAGTAGTTAAAGTTACTGAAATAACAAAAATGTCTGCGTGATTTTAACGATTTCATTACGAGGTTGTAGCTGAAGAATTTACACGCAAATTTAATCATTTTCACGGAAGTGTCAGATCTCGATACGCACGGAGCGAACACGATTCCAAAGAATGGATTCCTAAGAGTCAAATATCCACTGCGCACAAAGTATTCTTTACAGTAATATGATACCATTGCAATGCACGGTTCATATTTTAAGACTCGTGTTTCCTGTCGGGATATGTCGCTGATAAGAAAAATATACCTCTTTACGTACAGCATTTAAGATTTGTAGAAAATGAACTTGCATTGTGGTGAGTTATCGTTGGCATATCTAACGAAATAATAGAAGCTGAATTATTTCATCAAGGATTAGGCCGGAAGATTAATCTCTTCAATGTTAATGTCATCAATTCACCGGGTCTTTGGTCTTCCAACTCCTCTCCTACCATCCGGTACATAATTTGTTATTTGTTTAGGGAGTCTGACGTGCATTCTAACAATATTGCAGTACCAATTTTGTTTCTGTTTTTCGACGTTTTCTAGGAGGTTAAAAATATTTAGTTCTTGTCGTATATCCACTTTTGGATGATGTATTTAACGTCCAATTTTCGCATCCGCAGGTTAGTATTGGGCCGGCAAGCGTTTTATAGAATTTTTACTGAGTGTCTCTTCGGGTATTATTTCTTAAATTTTTTCTTATTGTTCCACACATTCTCTGAAATTCATTCAGTTTGCCATCAACATCGCTTTCTATTAGATATGATACACTGTAGACTAAGTAATGAAAGTTGCAAACTTGTTTTAAACTTTTATTATTTAGAACTATTTTACACCTGGCATGTTCTGGATCTACAAAAGCCATGGTTTTAGATTTGGAAACATATCTTAAGATGATATTGCTCCATTACTTTTTGTAATTTGTAGCCGCTATTTGTAAGTTACTTTCAGATTCTACAACAAGTAGTTGATCACCTGCAAATAACATATCTTGAAGGGCATGGTTCCAATACTTATTCCATGTGATGATATTTCTTATTCTTCTATAGCCGAATCTATGTATATATTAAACAATGTTTATGATAATGAACAACCTTGTTTGACAAACGATTTATAGCTGTACTTGTCATTTATATTATTATTTTTGAATTTTTATAAAGATTTTTTATGGTTTTAATAAGATGGGTAGGATATTCTTTGTATTACATTACATCCCATAGCTTTTCTCTGTAAATGGTATCAAAAGCTTTTTCGTAATCCACGAAGAGGATGAATGATGGGAGATTGAGTTCTCTTCTCTTTTGAATAATTTGCTGTAGGATATAAACAGTATAAACAATATAAACAAGCAAGTACTCCTTTTCTGAAGCCTGATTGCTCTTCTCTTAGTTTAACTTTACAATAAGGATTCATTTTAAAGTTGATAATTTAAATAAATATGAAATAAATAGATGTGTTACATTCATACAACGGAGTTTATTTTGTTTGTGAATGTCACTAATTTAAAAAATAAACATTTTGCATTGTTGAAATGATGTTCTGATTTCACTTTGGCTAATTTGTACAGAGGGCCTTGATAATACGTTCGATGCCTCCTTAATCTTCTATTACAATGTTGGCGTTTATAATTATTAAGTTACTGTTGACTTATGACTGTTAATTTACTATTAACTATACATTTATTTCCATTCGTGATATAGTCTTCATAAATACACTCAAGGATCTGCGTTTCCCAGATAAATTCACTCAAATCCATGAATTTATAGATAAACTTAGAACCTATCTTGGTATTATTGTTGAAGATTTACCAACACAGATATTAACATTATATGTATATTATTATATACAGATAACATTTTCGAAGTTCAATTTAATCAATTCAAGAATTAGTTACGCCGGCTTCAAACCCAGGTCACCTCGATTACCCCGAGTGACTGTGATGACAATCAAGTACTTCAATCAATATTAATATAAGACTACGATATCGAAAAATGAGAGTAAATGACAAAACACACAACCTTGAAATTATACAAATACAAAAAAAAGTGACCACTCACGAAATTGAAGTTTTTTTCTTGCACGAGGATCACAGGTGATTTGAAGTCAACAACTATAGAAATGTTGTATTAATGACCATACATTCTTGTAAGAGGCCTTCCTTCCCGCTCAACTGTCAGCTCGAACTGAACACGCAGCGCACGCGAGTAGCGACGTCTCATGGGGCATCGCGCAATATGAATATAACATTACTGCCAACCATTGAACGAAACATTATAGTGACTTACTAGTATTTTCTCGTTTTTCTTGATACGTTTGCATCCAAACAATATTATATTTATCAAAGAAACAAAGTATTATATGAGATTTATTTTATAGTCTTCCGATATATTTGGGGCAATATCCCGTACGCCAATCAAGACATATGAGGTGTCATTCGATGCGCCTCGATCTCCTGATGAACTGATAATTTGTTTTCGGATCCGAGTATGATATTAAAAGAAATTTCAAAAAAAGGTGTTTTTTCGTGTTTTTACGCTGCGATTGTAGTGATAGTGCCGGTAATTAAACCAATATAGATCTACGAAGGTGGCATGATTAAACTCCAGTACCCAAATGTTTTTTGGCTCAATATTCCTTAATTTTCTTTCGAGACGTTGGCAGCACTGATGTTGAAATCTTTAAGTGAAGAATTGATTTGCCAAGTGAATCGTGCTGCAGATTTTATTTTAATTTTGATTCGAATTATCGTATTTAAAAAAATAAATTTGCAGAAATCTACGAACAGTATTGCTTCGAAATTTATCAAACTTTAAGTACTTCTAGTGAATATGGAGCGAACAAAACTGAGTACAATGCTAGACAATGCTAGAGATGTAATGCTAGAGAATGAATGAACGTTATGTTCGACTTCTTACTTTTCCGTTCTTACATTAATTAGTGAGCGATTACCTATTTTCAAATAAATTGACCCACAATTTATTCTTATTAAACTTAATTAACACCTTATTCACATAAACATACAAAACAGTCGCCTTTTAATGTTTAAAAAAAATTGCATACAAAACGATTAATAGAGCCATTACAAATGTAGAAATGAATACAAATTAGACTAAATTTGTAAAGTTATCATCTCCTCAAAAATTAGGGGAAAAAAATATGGAAATGTTGAGGAAATCCGGAAAGAATAAAATGTAGTTGTAAAAAATGTTGCGACAGAATTTCGGAACTAATTGCAAATGATCTACAGTTTTGCATTTAGCATTTGTGATAATGCAAATGTGCTATGCGCATTTTAGCAGAAAAGGCGTAAAAAATGTAGCTGTACTAAAACTTACCTATTAGCATTAACAATGCCTGCAAGTATTTGTTAAGGTGATTAGAATTTCGAAATTCCAATAAGACCAGTTCATATCCCGTATGGAAGTAACATTCAAGGCCATTTGTTGTTGGGAACTTTTGAATGGGAGTATAACATAATCAGCTGTTCAACACTTAACTGATTTTAAAACAGTTAATAGCGTCGGCGACGCCACATTTTACTAGAGATCAAAGTTATCGGGCACTTGGAATCAGTAAATACCACATCATTATCAATTGATAACAAGTTTTATTGTTTTAATACATTCACACGACTCGACAAGTGTATTCATATTTCCATTTTTACAGCAAGGGATGAGAGATATCAGAAAGTTTCGCATATCCCTTCGTAGACGCCAACCCGAAATCGTTCAGCAGCAGAGCAGCGAGCGCACAGCGTCGGCGGAGGCGAGGTCGAAGGGCAGGCGGCCCTGCGCGTCCGCCGCGTCCTTGCGCGCGCCCGCCTTCTCACCTCCACCTCCCCCCCCCCTCTCCCCCCACCCCCTCCTCCCTTCTCCCCCCTCTCCTCTCTTGCCTTCCCTCCCCCTCCTCCTCTCCCTCTTCCCCTCCCACTCCCCCCCCCCTCTCCTCCCCCAATCCCCCTTCCCACCCCACCCCCCCCCTCCTTCCCCCCCTTCCTCTCCCTCCCACTCCTCCTCTCTCCTTCGTTCCCCCCCCCACACCCCCCACTCCCCCCTTCCCCCCTCTCCTCCCTCTCCCCTCCTCCCATCTCCTCCCCCTCCCTTTCTCCCCCCCGCCACCTCCCCCCCCCCCCACACCCCCCCACCCCCCTCCCCCCCCCCACCCCTCCCCTCCAGCCTCCTTCCCCTCCCTCCCCCCCTTCACCTCCCTCCTCCCCCCCTCCCTCCCCCCCATCTTCCCCTCTCCCATCCCCCCCCCTCTCCCCCCCCCACACTTCCCCTTCCCCCCCTTTCCCCGCCCTCCCCTCCCCTTCCCCTCCCTCTCTCCTCCCCACCCCCCTCTCCCCTCTCCCTCCTTCCCCCCCCTCTTCCAAATTCTTTTTTCCCCCCTCTCTCCCCTCCCCACCCCCCTACCCCCCCCCACCCCCTCATTCCCCACTCTCATTCCCTCCCCCCCCCCCTCCCCCCTCCACTTTCTCCCCCCCCCTCACCTTCCCCTTCCCCCTCCCTCCCCCTCCCCCCCTCCCCCCCCCCCCTTCCCCCCCCCCACCCTTCCCCCCCTCCTTTCCTTCCAATAACTCTTTTCTAGGTTTGCAGCTACCTTATTGTTACGTTTTTGAAGTTTGCATTGTTGAATGAAGCCTTTAGAGATTGCGATAAAGACCGCCCCAAAGCGGTGTTGCTATGATAGGTCTTCATATATCTTACGGAGCACTTAAGAGACCTCCGACCATGGAATAATTTTTACATTCTCGTGTTATTACGTACGCATTTGTATCGACTAATATATTTTACGTAGTATGAAGGGAAGGTTCGTAATTCTTGGGGGGAAATCGATTTGAGATTTCAACGGAAGTTCACAATTTGCGGTTCCCTGATTAACAACAAAATGTTTTTTTTATTACGTTTATCTACCTGCGACCTGTCCGCAGTCTGGTCCGTAAAACAACAGTTGAGCTAAACCAACTTCGTAGAATTTTTCCATAATAAGCCTACGATCGTATCTGCCCCAAGCCTGGGCCTGCGGTATTGAAAAGAGTATCTTTTAGTTTTGGAGTGAAGTATTTGCGACGTTATCAAATATTTTTTCAAAGAAAGGAACGGCACAGTTCGTTCTTAATTATTTGTTAAGAATAGAGTGAAATGCAGTTAAAATAAAGATAGTTAAGGTTCCAATTATCACTCTTGACATTTTCGTTGTGGTTCCAGACCGGTATTGATTAGAACGAGCACGGTCATTTCAGTTAGTTTTAAGTTTTGCATACAGGCTGCACTTTAATCGCCCTTGGGGGCAATATCGGAGCGAGAATTTCATTTTTTCTTTCCAGGCTTGCGATATTCAATAACCAGGAAACGCTAGATTGCTTAGCTACTTTCAGTACCTTTGTAAATTCTGTTTGTCATTGTATTTTGTATTTTTTTCTAATTATTTCGCTCCTTGTTGTTTGTTATACCCAGTGTTTAATACTCGGGCAAATTAGTTGCTTTAAGCTTGATCTGCAAGTTGAAATGGGGAACGGGTTGCCGGTCCTCGGGCCCGGCGTTCGGGAGGCGCAGCGTGCGCTGTGGGTTGCAGACCCGGACACGGAGTCGTGACCAGCGACATTTCGCCTTCGGCCTTGGCGGGCCGGGGCAGATGGGCGTGCTCTCCCTGCAGCCAGAACTTGCAGCCGCCTGCCAGCACGGCCACCGCGCTGCGCGCCGCAAAGCTTGCAGGCGTGGCTGGAGGCGGGGCCTGCAGGGGGTGGAAGGCCGCGCGGGGAACGCCCTGCGCGAGGGCGCCACGCGAGAATGGGCGAAGCGAGCTTGCGGCGCTGGAGGACGCGTCGTGGCCAAGCTGGAACGGTGCCGAAAGGGAACTGGGCGGGTCCCGTGCACAGGGGCCAGCGGCGACGGTCCCGCGGACGCGGGCGCCCGCGGAGACGGGCGTCTGCGGCAATGGGTCGGCCCGGCAAATGGGGCCCGCGGTTAACATGCGGCCCGCGGCATAATGGGGGTCCGCGGCATTGGGCCCGCGGCGACGGTAGGCGAGGTGCCGACGCTAGCAGCTACAGCGGGCTCCGTCCGGGGGATTTCCCTCGGAGCGGGCGGAATGCCCGGGTTCTTCCCTCAACCACCATGGGATCCCCGCGCGAGCGCGGTATCCTCACAATGCGAGCGCGCGGGCCGGGCGTCACCTGGGCGGTCAGCATGGAGCGGGTTTCTGGAGCCAGCCGAGGTAGGCCTCGCAGCAGGTTCGGCGCCTGGGGCGGCTATCCCGCACACCGGAGGTGGTTCTATGGGCGGCTATCCCGCACCCGGAGGTGGTCTGGGGAGTATACTCCCACCGGAGGTGGTACCGTGGGCGGCAGCATCCCGCACCCGGAGGTGGTTTACGTGGGCGGCTATCCCACCCGGAGTGGTGGCGCTATCCGTTCCCGCAGGAGGTCCCTCGGCATGGGTGGCGTGGGCGGAGCAGGGCCGGCGCTGGTGGACGAGCTCGGCGCGCGAACGGGCGCACTGGACGCCCCTGCAGACGCTTGCTGTGCAGGGGCGGACCCAACGCGCGCGACGCCCAGGGGCGCACGGCGCTGCACGCTGCCAGCGCAGCTCAACCACGAGGCGAGCGTGCCTGCGCTGGTGGCCCGGCGGT